CCCCCGTTCCCCCAGATTTTGAGGCCAAACCCCCCCAGTTCCTCCACCCCAATAAACCATAAATGACACTCTGACTCCTCCTGGCCCGGGGGGTGCCCGGGGGGTGCCCGGGGGGTGCCCGGGGGTCCCTCAGGGCCCCCCCTCGCCTTCGATGTCCTCGTCCCTGAGCACCACGGGCCGCAGCCTCTCGAGGAAGAGCCTCTCGTTGCCCTCGGAGCGCAGGGCCCGGGGGTCCAGGCGCCGCAGGGGCTCGGGCAGCCCCCCGAACTCGTCGTCGTTGACGTCCCAGTCGCGCAGCGCCGCCTCCAGCCCCCACCAGCGGCCCAGGAACCCCACGTCCAGCGGGGTTCCCCCCCCCGGCCACCCCCACCAAGCCCCCCCGGGCCTCAGGTGGGGGCAGGTGGCCGCGTAGAGCGCGGGGTCCGGCCCGTGGGGGTCCTCGTGGGCCAGGGCCAGCACGCCCAGGCTCAGCACCCGCAGGCGGCCGCGCTCCCGCAGCCGCAGCAGCCGCAGCACCCGCCGCTCGGCCCGGGGGCTGCGACACCCCGGGGGCAGCCGCCCCAGGGCCCCCCCGGCCGCCACCGCCGCCCCCTCCAGCGACTGCAGGTCGGGCACGGAGCCGGCGCAGACCCCCAGAGCCCCCAGGGCGCCCAGGACCCCCAGGGTGGTGCCGGGGCGGCGCCGGGCACCCGCCCAGGCCTCGCGGGCAGACGTGGAGTAGTCGTGGCACAGGGCCCGGAGCCAGCGGCCTGGGGGGGGGGAAGGATGGGGGGGGGTTAGAGAGGGGGTTATGGGGTGGGAGGGGGGCAGGGGGGCATGGGACACCCAGAGGAATTTGGGGGAACCCCACCCGGAGACACCTCTTGGGTTGTGACCCCCCCCTCTCCCCTCAAATCACATCCTTTGGGGGGGGGCAGGGGGATGGGACACCCAGAGGAATTTGGGGGGACCCCACCCGGAGACACCTCTTGGGTTGTGACCCCCTCTCTCCCCTCAAATCAC